CTTTTTATTGAACATTCAACATTGCAAATGAAATGTGAAATTATATTAAAATATAGATAAATGATATATAATAAATAAAACAAATGAATTAAATTATAATAAATGAATTAAATCACACACAACCAAAACAATACATTAAATAGACTCAGGCTGGAAAACAGAGCTCTCTATCTATCTATCTATCTATCTATATATATCTATATATATATTTATATATATATATATATATATATAAATAAATAAATATGAGCACACATTGTCCCACAAGCAAAAAAACCCTCCTTAAAACAACAGTCACGTGTACAGTCCACTGTCCATACAAAGACCCAGATGCCTCAACAGGCCATATCCAAATCTGCTTTTCAAAGTTTTCGAGCAAGGAACACCAACATGTTTGCGTTGTCGGGCAAATGCATCTTTGATTGTAAACTGTCGCTGGGAAGGTGGGGGCTCTCCATCTCCAGCTGCCGTGTTTTCTACCAGCTGGGAAAACGGAATGGGGTGGTTGTGTTTTAGGTGTGGTTTAAAATGCGTGGTATTGCCTGCTTTTGTCGCTACCTTTTTTTTTTTTTATGTCAGAATTGTCGCTACCTTTTTTAAACAAATGCGACACACCGCCCGGCTCATTGAAGTCCGTAGGTTCGCCTAGTTGATTTGGCTTGAATCCAAAATACTGCCACACCGGAGAATTGAGATGTGTAGTTAGGTTTTGTAACCCGCGAGTAAGTCACACGTTGTCTCCCTCTTGTCGCTATATTATTAATTTGGCTGATACGCTGCTGCACGTGCACGAGGAGTGTCCTGACCTGGCTGTGTGTCCTGACCTGGCTGTGTGTCCTGACCTGGCTGTGTGTCAGCCCCGCCCCTCACAGCGCACGTGGCCGGCAGCCACAGCGCTCCTAGCTAAAATGCTGGTCACATCCTTATGTAAACGGCAATTTATCGAGCTCAGAAAAGTTATCGAGTCCATTTTTATTTATCGTACGATAAGTACATTTATCGATTATCGCGACAGGCCTAATTCTAACGTAACATATAGTACCACGACCGCTGTGTGCACCATGTCATCAGAGATATCGTTGGAAAGCTCCTTCTCTCCTGCACAATCTCATCGAATCCAAATATGGTAATTTCCTTTGTATCAGCAACCAATCGTAAAAGAACAAAGGGGTCTTAAACCAAAAAACGAAATCTCATTGGCTGGTGTCAATTTCTGACAACGTGATTCGTTCAGATGCGACACGTGGTGTGCTAAAACACTTCCTGGTTTAGCTTTAGCCGGAAATGTAAATCTCAAAATGGCAAAAGAACAGTGATAAAAACATTCACAAAGAAGATGACAACAATTGTCACTTGCACGAAGCAAGGTTATACAAAAAACAAATGACCCTGACTATGAAATACCGTCACGGAGTGCGTCGAGGCGCAAGCTATCGTCCAAAGAACAGGAGGGTTTAGGTAGCGCCTCACTGCAATCTTTAAAGGTTGTTTTCTCAAAATGAGTTTTTTCTCCTATTCTGAAAGAGAAATGTCCACTTCAGTTGCACTTACATACACCAAACCTTCCAGTTATATTCCTATCAATATTCTGAAGCTTTTTACAGAAGGGTTTGTTCATCATTCATAGCCTGAATTATATAACATTTTATACCTAAAAACATGGCGAAAATTGATATTTTAGGGATGTTGACAGTATCTTCTGATTTATGGTGTGATAAAAAGAGATATCCAAAATCCCTTCAGTAAAAACTTTAGATTCTAATATGACTACAAAATGAAATAAGAATTTTTATCCTGGCTTTATCCAATGTTCAGATTTGTGTTCCTGAAATCTATAAAAAATATGCGCATATTTAATGAGTATTGGCTCATTTGCATATTGATACATGCTATTTCAGAAAAACTTTGAATACAAAAAACAATTGTCTTAGTCTAAGTAATTAACTGGAGAAATTCCTAGCTGATATCTTTAAGTAAAACAAATTACCCTATTCACCTGTAGTGTCTCGCCTTAAGACAACAAGAAATATCACGGTTATGGTAAACTGAATTCTAAAGTTGTCTCATGACAAATTCAAATACTTTGGATGCCCTACCATTTCATGTCAGTTTCACATTTGTTTCTCAGAAGTCAATACTCATTGAGGCCTAACTGGCCTATACAGTATATGCTTATCAGAAATCATCAATGTATCTACCAAATGTCATGGAAATCAAGCCCCTAACTAACACAAACCTAACCCTACCCTAACTGACAAGACATGTTTTATGCAAGCCAAACATTTCAACCTGCCGGTGGCAACAGAGTACAAATATGGGAACATTTCACAACAAACCACATTAGTCATGGCATATTTCAGTTCGGACGAAAGTTGCGGACTGATCACAGACCAAAGAGTCAACAAGCCAACTGCCATTGCCATCTGTATAGCCATGCAGCTAGTATGGCATATACGTGAACTCAATGATCCTTATTAGAAATGTGTTGTTCTTCTTTTCATGTATAAAAGATATACTAGTGTTGCCAATCCGTTGATGCAACAACTTTGGCTCTTCACCTGGCAATCGACATACTCTAAGTCAGCGGTTTTCAAAGTGTGAGGCGCAGGGGGGCGCCAGAGAGCTTCAGGGGAGGTGCAGCGTGAGAAAGAAATAACGAGAATTTCAGCTAGTTAACTTCAGCTAACTTTATGCGAGCGGCAACATGGATCGATTTTATAGTGAAGTTACCTAAAGTGAGAGAGGAGACAGCGTCTGGCAGAAAACGTCACGTGCACACTTTTGGCTCTCTGTGGAGACCGAGTTCCCCCACCTCGCCTAAAAGGCTGTAAAAGTGCTCATTCCCTTCACCTCCGCCTACCTGTGTGAGTGTGGGTTTTCCGCAAGTACCGGTCAAGCAGGGGCGGATCTACCGGGGTGGCATTCTATTTCATGAATATGAGCAGGCAAACAGTGTGCAACAGGACGATGAATGGCTTCACTACTCCAATCAGACGCTGCTGCTCAGTGGCGTAACAAGGTTGTGATTGGCCCCGGTGCAAATATTTTTTGCCCCAAACATAAGCGCACGCTGATGCGCTCACACACACACGGACATACACAACCACTCAGAAGCGCCACATGTATAGGCTATCAACAACAGCCTGCCCTGGCCTCAGACAACCACAGCCTGACAACGGCACAGCGAACTAAGAAGAGGATTAAACCTGTTTCCTTGATGTTTGTCTCTGGGGAATGGGCCGGTAGGCCTACATAGACTGGTTGCTATAATATAGCTTTTGATCTTGGCGTTGGGGGTCTCAATAGCGCCATAGAGTCCCCTATCGGTTGGGGCCCTTGGGGGAACTGTTGGACTACCGCCGGGCACAGCCAAATCCAGCCTCTCCTCCTGGCTGGCTGGAGAAGAAGGTTGCACAGCCACGGATACAGCTTCACTTGTGGAGCTAGATGGCAATGATGGTGGTGAGCTATCATTAGCCTCCGGCTCCGGCTGCTGCTGCACGTCAACATTGCTAACGTTAGCGCGATTTCGAGGACGATGTATGACAAAAAAAAGGTCTAATTTTGTCAGTTTAGATGTTACATCTCCTTGTTCTCTATTGTCCTTTCTCTTTTGAGCGCTGCTCTTGTGCTTTGGTTTGCTGTACATTATAAATGCAAGCTATTACATTTTTTATAATGCCGCCGAACTTGCTGCTGCTAGCTACAGTACAGTACAAGTTGATTAAACAATTCGCTGGTCACGCAAGGTATCACATGACATGAAAGGGAGCAAGGTCATTGGACAGACAAATTACAAATTAATTTAGGTTGCTTGGTTACTTTGAAGACTACGTGAACCGGTCAATGCCATTGGGGCCCCAAACAAAAAATATTAAAAAAGAATATTAAAACATTTATTTATTTTTTGCATGGGCCCCTTGCCGGCTCGGGGCCCCGGTGCGTTGCACCGGCTGCACCGTTGATAGTTACGCCACTGAGTGCTGCTGCTCGGATAGCTCTCACTGCTGTGGCAGCTCTCAATGGAAGTTACAGCTCACCATGCTGGAGACCAGCCTGTGATACATTAAAGATGTGCTGCTGTCAGGTTGGGCCTACAGTATGTGTGTGGCTGATGTACAGTGGCATGTACATCACCCTTGTGTCACCTAGTGTAGAGTAAGCTAGCTGTTAGTGTATGTGCATATATCCATTTTATATTCAATCTGTACCATACTGTAGAACTACTTTTAATGTGCCTCATTGCAACCTAAATGACACTAAAAGCACTTCATGCAGCAAAGTAAAACTAAACCTATAGGTTTTGCACGTAGGGCTGCAGGATTCTGATAAAATAACTAATTTTGAGGGATTTCTACATTGCGATATGATTCTCATTTTTCATCAATCTGCTCATTATCATTGACAAATATTTTTAAATGGTCATGGTGAAAGGCTCTGTACCAAACTAAAATGTTGAATAACTATGTGTAGGCAGGGATGTATTATCTACATGGCATGCATGTGCAGCCAGCAGAAGGCAAGAGGGAGACACTGCATCAAAAAAAGGCAGGATATCCCTATGTGTGAGTATGTGTGTGTGTGTGTGTGTGTGTGTGTGTGTGTGTGTGTGTGTGTGTGTGTGTGTGTGTGTGTGTGTGTGTGTGTGTGTGTGTGTGTGTGTGTGTGTGAGAGAGTGAGTGAATGTCTGTAAGGACAGAGAGCAACCAATCAATTCACGTGCACCAACAAGGGAGGGTGAAAACGGCAAAGCCGGCTGTGTGTAATGGAGAGGGTTCACTCACCATCTGATATGTGACAATCTGCAGCCCCCCATCACAGCCTGAGCTAAAAGGAGCCCATTCAGAAAGAGTGCCAGCCTGCTACATGCTGCTGCTGCTGCTGCTGCTGCTGCTGCTGCTGCACTGTCACCACAAATCTGATGGGGGGGTGTTTTGGGAAAGGGGGGTAGGAGTGTGTAGGCCTGGCCTGGCTTGACAGTCATGCAAATTAAATCTCACCTTTAGCGTTGTGTTTGGATAGCTCACGGGCACCTTATGGAAAGTGCTGTTGGAGAGCAATGCCTGCCTGATATCTTCGAAGATGGTGATGATATCATCCAAGAGGCAGCGCTTGTCCCGGTGGCTCAGCACGCAGAGGTGCGCGAACGTGTAATTGAATCCCTTGTAATTCACGTGCAAATCCAACACCTGCTTGTGGACCTGCAGGACCTGGTCGGCCAGCTCCAGGATGTTTCCCCCGGACTTGGCCAGCAGGATCAGCCTGCCATATCTGCCCGGGGTGTGCAAATCCGAGTACAGCTTGTGCTTCGACTGGTCGATGGGAAACAGGCTGTTGGCGAGACTCCGCTCGATCTTGGCCAGGCTGTGCGTCGGGGCGACAAGCACCTCCAGGTCCGTCTCCGGCTTGAATCTGCTCAGCACTGTAGATCCGAAAATGATGGTGAGCACGGCGGGGACGGTGAGGAAGAAAACGGGGTGCCTGCTAACGAATAAGCCCAGCCAGTAGAACGAAGCCTTGAGCCCTCTGTGTATCACTTGCCGCAGCATCCTCCACAAAATCCCGCTTGCAGATGCCCCGTCTCCTCCGATGAAGCACATGTGACATCAGACTCCCGGCTTAGTCCAATTCGAGAACCACCATGCACACACTCACTTACTCTCACACACACGCGCGCCACAACACCTGGAAAAACAGCACTGCAGCAATCTCGCTGCAAGACGCACGGACGCACACACAGACAGGCAGACAGTCAGAACACCATCGCGCATCGGCCGTAAGAGACGAGTCCGCGGTGTCTGGTCTCACGCCATTCTGCCTCCGAGTGCTGGAGAAGAGCCGCCGGTGTGCGGAGCTGCAGCGGCTGCAGTGGCAGCGACGAGCCGCGGCGGAGTGAAGAGCAACTGTCTGCTGCCAGTCCGCCGCTTCACACCAGCCCCGGCGCCTGATTTATGTACTTAACTGTAACCATGTGGAGGGGATGAAGGAGAGGAGGGAGGGAGGGAGAGGAGGAAGAGGAGCAGGGGAGGGGGGGAGGAGGGGGGGGGGGGGGGGGGGGGGGGGGGGGGGTGATGCCTGGTTATTTTTAGGAACAGCGGAGGCAACAGGCAACATGAGAGTTGTAAAATATGTTTCCTGCCGCTGCTGGTGGCCGAAAAGCACAGGGATGAGTCAGTGTTCATGAATCGGGAAAACCCGCTTTGTGTTCATGCTGAGTTCAGTGTGCAGGCCAGGCAAGGTGTTGTGACAAGATCAGGCCATACAGAGCGATCTTCTTCTTTTTTCAAAATACAATTTAAAAAACCTGTTTAGGTGGCTTGTCATTATTTGACTTGCACTACACAGACATAACACATATTTTGTGCAATATTTTGTTAAACATACTACTACAAACACCTGTAATATAACACTGCAATATTTTACCTATAGTAATTATGGTGTTTAACACAGTCATCCTGCAGCTACTTCATTACTTTATACTTATTTCACTTTTTATAATGCTGTTACTTTTTACATTGGAATGTGCAATTATTATTTGATTCCACATAATAAAAACTCTGTGACGATGTACATTTCCCCTCTGTGGGACCAAAAAAACATTTCTGATTCGGATCAGTGCATTCGAGATGTATTGGTGTTGCTATTTCTTGTGTTTTAAATGCAGTTATGAATATAATTGGAGGATGAAACCCTCTTTATTTTACAAAGTGAAATGTGTTCTCTGCTTTTAACCCATCCTAGTACCAGGAGTCTAGTACTGCAGTGGGCTGCTATTGTGCAGCGCCAGGGGAGCAATGGGGGTGGGGGGTTGCCTTGCTCAAGGCAGGGCCTAGGACAGGGGTGGCCAACCCGCGGCTCTCGAGCCGCATGCGGCTCTTTGCCTAGTTTCATGCGGCTCTTCAGTTCATATCGAATTTTATGTGTGAGTTTGGGGGAGAGACACTGACTCCTGACTAGTGTTGCACGGTGTACCAATACTTGAAAGGTACCGCGATACCCTGCCGTTAAAAACGTTACGATTCCTCCGTTTCATTAGTATCGGTACTTTAAGAATGACGGGGGAAAGTACTCCGGTGAGAAAGCGCCGTTTTAATAAGAGCTGTGTGTGTTCAGCGCTCTGCTTCCACTCCCTGCACTGCAGCCGTGCCTGCAGTCCCGCCCCTCTCAAGCACGCTCTAAGTGCCTCCCCTCTCAAGCACGCTCTAAGTGCCTCCCCTCTCTCGTGCACGCGCTAGCTGCCAGAGCATGTGAGAAAACGAGAAGCATGGCTGCAAGTGGGAGTGCAACTGCCGCTGCGCCTCGGCTTGTTGACAAAAGACGCCAGAAGCGAAATTTGGAAGTATTTTAGCTATATCTCTGACAGTGAGGGCAAGCCTACGGACACCACGAGGCCCGTCTGTAAGAAATGTATTAATTGTATTTAATACGAATTCTTGTCATTTATTTTATTTATTGTTCTCATTGTTTAAAAGTTTGTGTTATGGTTCTGGTGTGAAATAAAGCACAATAATTACATTTAAGACCGTTTCCCTTTTTTTAAGAAAATATCGAAAAATAATCGGAATCGCAATTCTTGACTTGGTATCAAAACCAAAATGTTGGTATCGTGACAACACTAGCTACTCCTGACAGTTAAACCTGATATTTAGTAGGTCTGTTAAGTATTGAATGCTGATAATTCTGACGTAATTTGGCCGGTCAAAGTTGTTTGGGCTCGGATAAAATCGCTCCGTTACTTTCGTCCCGTGTTATGTATGTTGTGTGTCAGTATGAGAGGATGACAGCGCGTATAATTTTGATGTGGCCCAAGAGCCAATCACAATAATACCTGCGATGCAGTGAACCAATCACCTTTGAGGGGGGGGGGGGGGGGGGGGAGAAACCTATCGTTGATTAAACATTATCCAGTGTTTCCCCTACCATTGTCTTGGAGGGGCGCTGCGCCCCGCCAACGGAGCCCCGCGCCCCCCCTGAAATTCAAGGTGTTTAAAAAAAATATATATATATAATTTTTTTTTAAAATATATATAACACCAAATTGCAAATAATCTATAACTACTGTCACTTTTCACATTGAACATGTGCTCTTTTATTAAATAAACTAAACGCTTTCATTTTAAGTTGTGAGTTTAGTGTTTTTGACCCTATAAGAAACACTGATGCATTAATCAATAACAATAATCCACAGCTCCTCTCTCTGCTCCAGAGGATTTAAAAAATATATATCCCAATGCCACAAAAATGCATCAGTGACGTGGTTGAAATCTTGTCTCCAGAAAACAAAAAACTGAAACAAGCGATATCAGTGACTGTGTGTTTGATGTGGCTCTTTGAAGTAACATAGAAAAAATGTGGCTCTTAACCTCTGACTGGTTGGCCACCCCTGGCCTAGGAGGTGAACTGGGACCTCTCCAAGTAGCACTCCATACTGGTCTGTTCGGGGGCTTGAACCAACAACCCTACGATTCCCAGTCCAAGCCCCTACTGACTGAGCCACTGCCAGCGACGCTACAGTCTAAGCATCATGAATAAGAAAGCTCCCATAAAATATCATGTCCTCAATTAAGTCAGTGCCCATGCTCCAGATTTGATGAACATTTTGAAAAAAAGTCGAAATATAGACCAGACTATTGTTTAGCGGGCCTGATTTTCAGAAAGCTAATCAGAATTAGATATATGGCCAAGTAGGTTCGCCAATACAAGGAATTGGCTTTGGTGAAAATGGTGCATACATAGACAAGATAAATTAGATTGTACAAAAATATTTTTTGTAGGACAGTAAAAATGTGACAAATACAATAATTTAAAGAAGAAAGGTTTCCCAGGTAGCAAAGTCATTGAATCAACATTGAGATATTGTCACACTGAAGATTGCAATCAACATTGATGTCAGACATTGAAAATAACATTGAAAGTGCCCACTGTGATCAGCATTGAAAGAACATTGAATTTTCAATCAATCCCAACAATGAATCAACCTTGATTCAATTACGATATGATCAACATTGAAAGGATGTAGAATTGCATCAACATTGATTCAACTAGTATGCGTTGCATTATACATTGAAACAATGTTATTATCGGATAGCAAAAAGTCATCGAATCAACATTGAGATATTGTCACGCTGAAGAATGCAATCAGCATTGATGTCAGACATTGAAAATGAACTAAAATGAACAAACAAAAAAAGAGCCCATTATTTATTCAGTTATTTATTACGATTTAATTTAATTATATGAACATTTTGTACATCTTTTGTCCACTTTAGCACAAAAAACATTCACACAAAACATTCTCTCTTCTAAAGGTCCCATGACATGCTTTTCCGGTTATTACCCGTCCCCTTGTGTGTTATTTTTCTGCATGTAAACGATCTGCAAAGTCACAAATCCTCAAAGTGCACCCTGTAGCGAGTAAATACAAAATACCTGTCTATTCTGCCCCAGAACGCCTCGTTGGAGATTTCTCTTTTTCCATTTTTTTCTTCCTGAGTAAAGTGACGTAACGGGCATAGTGACGTAACGGCTCCGCGGATTGGTCCACACACACACACTCACTCAGCCTTATCTTTTCTCAGCCACGGCTCTGCGGATTTCCACACACACAGCCAGGCTGTGAGTGTGTGTGTGTGTGTGCTCAGGCTGAGTTCCTCGGTGTCTCGCTGTCCCCATGCCATCATAATTTTCTGTTTAAAGCAGCTTTGCTAGACGTTGACAACATGCATTCTTCATATGCTGAAGATATGGATTTTGAAAAAAGTTAAGGACATTTCTAATAAACACAACCTGATCTCACCAGAATGCGTGACTCCACCACGACTCCTTAACACCGCATTCCGTGGTGGAGTCACACACTTTGAAATGCGAGACAGAATATATTTTTTTCATTGGTACTGTCGCTATGTTTAACGGTTGTAACACCTGTATGGCTTCTCTTCAACCAGAGGATGGCCATGACCTTTGCCCCTCTTGTCTTGGCCTCGAGCATCTGAGGGAGGGCCTTTCGGAGGACCCGCGCATGAATTGCACCATCATGCCTCGTGCGGTAAGAGCTGCTAGACTAGCCGAGGTTGAACTACTGACTGAGGGTGGCCTTCCCCCTGCACAGTCGACTCCAGCCCAACCTACCCATCCTGGGCGCCGGGCCGCAGAGGCTGCGAGTGCCCCACCCAGGAAGAGGACTAAGCCTGATAGGCTATCCTCCAGGGTGGACCTACTCACTACTGAGCTAGCCCAGATGAAGTCACTCCTCTTGGCTTTCCATTCTGGAGCCAGTACAGAGCGCGCCGCTGCACCCGATCTGCCCATGGCTGAGCTGATTCCAGATAACGATGTGTTCTCAATGGCAGCTTCAGCCACTCAATTTAATGAGTATGACGGGGAGGGCCCATCCCATGCTTCTGGGCCTGGCTCCTGTACCTCAGCTCATGGATCCTCGGAGGGGGCAGAGGACTCCATGGGTGCCGTCATCCGCATGGCACTGGCTCGCCAGCAGCTGGATGTACAGCAGCCCGAAACAGCGCCTGCCAGTGCGTTCTTCAGGCGCACTTTGGCACCCGCAGTGTTGTGCTAGTTACTGAAAACCAGTAACTAGTTACCATTACTAGTTACTTCATTTCAAAAGTAACTCAGTTACTTTACTAGTTACTTAAACCCAAAAGTAATGCGTTACTGTGAAAAGTAACGTTTTAGTTGCTTGAAAAAAGGGCTCCCATTAATGCCCTTATAGCCTTCATTTCAGTACTGTTATTGCATTGGAGAATAATACAATCTGTTGATCAACTTGACATGCATTATATGCAATCTGGATTGCATCGATATTAGCTGGCTTTCCATTTTTGTATATTCTTTCTCCAGGTAGTTGGAAAAAGTTTTCCGTCCCATATGCCGTGTGCCGCCCGGACATGCTATCATGCTAACTAGCTCCCTGAAAGCGGGTGACTCCACTGTAGCAATAGCCTGCATGTG